AAGGCCATTGCTAATTGGGTGGAGGCCATTGCTATTAGGGTGGAGGCAATCGCTATTAGGTTGGAGGCCATCGCTATTAGGGTGGAGGTCATCGCTATTAGCTTGGAGGCCATCGCCATAAGGCTGGACGCCATCGCTAGTATGTTGGAGGCCATCGCTATTATCGCTATTAGGTTGGAGGCCATTGCTATAGTATGTTGGAGGCCATCACTATTAGGTTGGAGGCCACTGCTAGTAGGTTGGAGGCCATCGCTATTAGGTTGGAGGCCATCGGGCCATCGCTAGTATATAGCCCATATTTTTGTATATTACATAACATGTTTGTTTTTTAGTTATCAGTGTCATTCATCAATTTTTGGTTGTCCGAGGCATTGTGGTTGTGTTCATCGCGGCAGAGGAAGGCGGTGAGAAGCAGGTTGGAGTCGACAAAGTCTTGGAGAAAGGCAAACTCGAAGAGGCGCGGACTGGCACAGCTTGGCAGGTGCGTGCCATTCTGAATGGGAGTAGTTTCTTGTTACTAGTAGTCACAATGCTCCTGGTAGCGATGCCAGGAGCCCCTAGTAGCGTCCTTGCTCCTAGTAGTAAGGCCAGGAGCCCCTAGATGAATCAATGTTGCACATAAGAGTTCAACAAAGGATTGTGACTCCGAACATAGTGGGTCCGTTGAGGGTCGTTTCTTGCGCCTTTGGAAGGTTTAAAGCAAACGATATTTGCTGCTTGCCAGGCAAAGAATGGCCCTGTTTATTGGGCGGTGGACTTAGCACACTCCTTTGACGCAAGAGGAGCAAAAAAAAGGGCACTGCCACACTGTGATAATGCACAAGAGGAATAATCTGGACTCAAGCCTTTGGACCCTCATGGACTATGGCGCTATCTCACTTGAAGGGCCAACAACTCTTGGAGAGCCAGCGACTCCGCCCTGGATGTTTGGGCGTTGTGGCTACAGACATGCTCAACTCCATACCCAGGGGGCCGTTTTACTTGAAGGAGGCCCCGGCGCAGATTGGCGCCTGCGTTACAGCCAGAATTGGTTCCTTGTTGCCCCTACTCTTTGAAACGTGAAATTTCTAAAAAGACCAAAAGAGACCAAGGCTCCAAGCATGAAGGCACATTCCAAGCTGCCATTTGCGTCGAAGGAAAACATGCAACATTAACAGCACTAATGGCCGCTTTGCTCCAGAAGGCAACTGAGGATATTGTGGCGGCTTAGAGGTCTAAAGAAGATAATGAATCAGGAAGAACAAGAGAAGAACAGCAGAAGGAGCTAGTTCCCCACCTGTCAGGTGATGGTTATTAGATTTTATGTCCGCTGCCGTCCTTCTCGTTCTCCTCGCGGTCCTCCTCCTCCGATGGCAGTGTTCCCCGCCACACCTCAACTGTGAGCTTCGGCAAACACACAGTCGCAAACACACAACTACAAACACATCCACAATCTCACAAACACAATCACAAACACAACCACAACACACAACCACAATCACAGCACACAGCCCGAGGACCCACAAACAAAGTCGCGAACCACAAAACTCACGACCATGGCAACATACTCCTCACCATGGCACGAAGACAAATGATTGAAATGTCATGGTGGGGATCACTCGAAGTAGAGCAATTTAAGGAGTTCGTATGTTTTTTTCGACATTTCCTCCGTGTCTTTCTTTCGACTTGTATTTTTTTGTCTTTTCTTTAGAACACAAAAGAAACACAAGTCCTTTTATGGCAGTTGTGTCGCTGTGTCTCACCAAGGTGGACTCAGCAGACTCAAACCCCTGCTGTGGCACTGCAGGGGCCATATCATGGTGCGGCCACCTGGCACCGGTGACAATGGCCTCCACCCTAGAAGCGATGGTGAATGTGTGACATGAAGTTCGGGCACGCCATTGATCTACCATGTTTTTTTGCCGCAAGCGACTGAACTGGTCGACCCGGCCGCCACTGGGGATTTATACGGTGGACTGCATGCGGGGTTGCTCAAGCCAGAAAAACATAGAGTTTGGTTTGGTTGACAGCTACACTGAATCGACATCACCCTGCATGTGGGTCTCAAACGCCCTCCAAGTGTTCCTCACTAGGCAACTGAAGTGCAAAGGCCGACTATTTCACAGCGGCTGCTTGGCAGATGGAGAGATTCAAAGAGACCTCAGTCAGCCTCCCTGCCACCAGAGTGTTGATGCTGGAAAAGATTGGGGAACTTTGCAAAGTCCCTCCACTTGTGGTACAGTGGATCCCCACACAAAAACCATCAAAAACCATTCTGCAGCTAATTATACGAGGACATGTCGTGGGCAGGATGGTCGTGTTTGGCAATGGAATATAATTAGTAACTTTCATTCCAGACCTCCGTAGACAATCAAAAGCAATGTGGCCATCGCCCACCTCATTAGTTCAGTATTGCATTCATGGAGTTGGCTGGTAAGTTTGACTTAGTACTGGCAAATGTATGGAGCATAATGTCCGCCCATGTCATTCCAATGACTGCAAATTCTTTGGTCAGGGTGCAGACACATCCTTGGATGCACATCCCCTGTGCTCAGGATTTCCCAACAAGGGCATCAATAGCATCGAGCTGGCTCAAGAGGCGCCGGATGTCGTGCGTGTTTGAGGGGGCAACCTTTGCTCTTCACAAGCATCGAACTTCCGCCCACGATAGAAATGAGTTTTTGCGGATTGGCCAGCAGATTCAAAAAGGGAGTCACTGTGATCATCCGTTTCTCAATGTTTCTGAGGCCATTGCTTTCGTCCAGGACTGTCAATGCTTTCGATTCAGAGAGAGAAACCGGATTTCTGATAAAAAAAGACAGAGAGAGAGGGAGAGAGAGAGAGAGAGCGATCAATCAACGACTTGAGCAAGCTAAACTGGTACTCGATCGGTCCGTGGAGGCTTAATGATCACCCCACCATCGGAAGATTAGCGCCAAAAGATTCCTAAACAAACGATCTTCACAAAAAGACAAACGACCAAACACACTTCTGGATTTGCTTGCGTGGCACTGCCGACTTTCTCGTTTCATCAGGAGAGGTTCTTCAACGACTTTCCACCACTGCCAGAGGAGGAGCTCTATTCTTTTGCAACAGGGCGACTCGTCTACTCAGATCTGGATAGATCTTGGCGATGGATAGAAGCCATCAACTCTGCTAAAATTTGTTTGGGGACCTTTTTGGAGAGAGTTCCAAATTTGAGTTCGAGCGATCTCGAACAGCAGCGTGAGGTCACACATGAAGCCCACTCAGATCGAGAGCTCCAAGGGCTCTTTCAACCAGATCCCCGCTGAGACCACCATCAGTGGTGACATCAGGCGGCGGGAATACACGTGACCACCCGACAACTCTTTTTCAATGTGTGTGGACGTGCTTTTCTTTCTTCAGAAATTCTCTGCAGTTGAGTTTGCGAGCGTGTGATTGGGCACACAGAGGGGAAAGGGACTGTAGACACCTGGTCAGGAAAGGTTTGGATCACGACATAGATTTTTTCATATTTTCTCACTCAATAAACGAGGATTCAAAGCGATCTATGCTGAGGCGAGCAATTAAGTCAGTTTTCCGTACAGACTATGACCGACGGATTAAGAATAGCATGTTTCATGCCTCATTGGACCACAAAGCTGTAGCTCGAAGTCTTGAATGGGTCACCCGCACAGAGAGTTCAGTCGAAGCAAAGCCTCACATGCTCCTGACTGACATCGAACACAGCCTCTGAGTAGCTCATCCGTTCTTTGGTTCAAAGCCACAGATTTCAGAGTGAACCGAATTAATCATTGGGCTTGATACCGGACAATGAGACACGAAGGACCTTAAAGGATATGTGAAAACAGGAAGATAAGAAACAATATGTTACTAATAGCTTATTGTTCCTAATAGCTTCTTGTTACTACTAGTAAGGCACTTGTTACTAGTAGCGATGCACTTGTTCCTAGTAGCGATGCACTTGTTCCTAGTAGCGGTTTGCGTGACTTGTTTCAGCACCGTTGGCGTTTCCACAGGCTTTCGCCCTTCTACGAGGTGGAAGATGTGGTGGAGCACGTGGAAAAATATGTGGAGGAAAGTGCAAGCCAAAGGCGAAAGAAAGAATTACAGTTGACACGAAAAGAATATGTTGAAGATAGAAGATGGTCTAAAGATGTCGTAAAGGATAAGGATAGAAGATATGTTGTTCAAAGAAATGATGTTTCACAAATCAGCCCAAGACATTAAGATACAAACATATACTGCATAGATTATCGAAAGGTCGGAAGATATGTTGTTCAGAGGTGGTTCGAAAGTCGGAAGGAGCGACTTTTGTTTTTCCCTTTTCTCCTTGTCTAGTTTTAGTCTTAGTTTTCTTCTAATTCTTCTTCTTTTAAGACTCGTTTGTGCTGTTTCTTCTTTTGCCTTCCTGTCTTCCCACCACTAGCTTGTTTAAAAGGCTCGAGTGGCTCTTCTCACTTCTACTCGTTTCTACTTACCTACTTGGCTGTTCTACCTCTCTTCTTTGCGGCCTACCCCCAAAAAACAGTCGTTGACTTTGGAAGTGAAGATGTTAATCAGTGGGTCGTTCCTTTCTACAATCTTTAATGAAGATTCCAAGCATCTAAGTACATGCTTTTCTCATTGCCACCTTCACGTCCCACATTGTTTCAATCAGCACACCACCAGCTGGTTGCGCTCCCGGTAGAGATCGTCCAACGCAGTGGCGAATCAGTTCGAGCGCATGTACGTCATGACAGAGAACAAAGGAACGGTACGTCACTTGTGCTTATTGTTTTTAATGGCTTCTTGTTACGACTAGTAAGGCCAGGAGCCCCTAGTAGCTTCTTGCTCCTAGTAGTCAGGCACTTGTTCCTAGTAGCTTCTTGTTACTACTAGTAAGGCACTTGTTCCTAGTAGCGATGCACTTGTTCCTAGTAGCGAACTTCGCATCACAGGAGCTCAACTCTGAGCTTGGGGACCTTGAAACCCACAATCGAGGACGACGGGCTTCGAGCGAACGAGGTCGACGGATTTCAACGGGGTGGTCTTTGCCGGTCTTCCCACTTCAGCTTTGAGTCCTGTCCTGGCAGGTTGTTTTTTGCCAAAGAAAACATGTAATTAATCATTGAATGCGGTTGATGTGTCTTTGCTTCCTGGGGCTTGTTTGCACCAGAGTTGTTTGTCTTTTGAAGGGTTTTGCTGGAGTGTTTTGGTTTGCTCAGGCACTTACACCCTTGATCAGTAACTGTGCTAGACTCCACGTGGGCCTGATGCAGCAGGGTTGGTTTGCAACAGATTGCTACAAGCTAAATACATATATATATATACACGTCAAACGACAAGCAGGTTGCCAAGGCCCAAAGGAATGAGCCTTTTGATGGATCAATCCCAGAGCATCCTATACAATCAGCCAGCAGCGGCTTTCTGGTATTTGGTTGACATAGCTGGTCAGCCAATATTAGGATCCTATTGTGGGCCGTTTTGTCGAAAGAACTTTCTGAAAAGATATGTGTGTGTGTGTGTGCGGAAGAGCCTAAAGGCTATTAGGAGCAAGAAGCTACTAGTAGCTCCTGGCATCGCGACTAGGAGCTACTAGGAGCATGGGAAGTTTCAGATCCTTCGATGTCATATTTCGTTCTTTTCTACCACACTCCAGAATAGACGCAGCAACTCCGGTGCCCACTTGTGCCCTGGTGAGTAAGGTCATTTTGAAAGTAAAGTGTTTTTAGGAAGCCCCTGCTACTAGGTTGAAGGCCATTGCTAGTAGCTTCGAGGCGGTTGCTGGTAGGTTGGAGGCCATCGCTAGCAGGTTGGAGGCCATCGCTATTAGGTTGGAGGCCGAAGCTAGCAGGTTGGAGGCCATCGCTAGTACGTTGGAGCCCATTTAGGTTGGTGGCCATCGCTAGTAGGTTGGAGGCCATCCCTAGTAGGTTGGAGGCCATCGCTATTAGGTGGGAGGGACCACTATGAGGTTGGAGGCCATTGCTAGTAGTGGTCGCTATTGGGTTTAAGGCAACACTATGAGGTTGGAGGCCATCGCTAGTAGGTTGGAGGCCA